TCTGCCATGATTCAGTTTTTATTTGACTATACACAACATCACCTAACCACACTTACCCATGATTTTACTTTCTTTCATTTGAGTGACTATCTAATGAACTTTTTTTTTCCTAAAGGATGACTTAAAGACCAACAAAACCAAAGAACACTTTGCACAAGAGGTTACTCAAAAAATTCAGAAGTTGGAATTGGCCATATGGAAATCGAGTTTTACTTCGCCAGGAAAACATGAAGATCTTGCTTTGGGTATAGGTAATAAACATGAAACAGACTGCTCAAATGGCCCCTAAAGGGAACTGGGTGCTGGTGACACAGCCGGGGTTCCGTGAGCTGAGGGTCTGTGAATGACTACATCTAGATTTTTCCACACTGATGTTCTGTATGAGTAGAGCTCTGCTTTCAAACGTTAAATACAAGAGAATAAGCTAGTTCTTTTCTTCTCTAACTTCTCTAAATGTGCTGGAAAGTACTTAAGAATATATCTACCAAGATTCATTGGAATGAGGAGTGGCATCCACTTCCGTAATAACTTGCCTCCGGAAACCCTATGAACCTGGAGAGAGGATGAAAGGCGCACAAGCGTCGAGGACTCTCCTTCATAGGGTTGCTATGAGGCGCCTGCAACTTGACGGCACTTAACAACAACAATAGACAACAACCATGATTTATGGCTGGATTAAAAATATCCCTTAGATTTAGCCGAGTATGGTACTAGGACAATCCTATCCCAGTGGCAGCTATTTGATCACTGGTCTAAAACCCCCTTTCCTCCACTAGAATGCCTAACATCCTTTTAATGGAGAAAATTGGTGTGAAGATCACCCCTATCCACCAAATGGTTCAAATAACTTGAAACCTCAAAAAGGGAAGTGAAGAGCTAGCTCTAATTCTCTTCCTTTTTCAGGACTCTTGTTAGTCACCATATATGTTAAGTAGAGCAAAGAATCCATTTATGGCTTCATTAATTTTCCTTTGTCCGTCCTGTAAAAGTACGGGAGTGCCATTAAAAAAAAAAAAAGAGTGATCGATCAGGCTCAAGAAGTTATTAAAACGTATAATCAATACCACACACACCTGAAATCTTGCTTGTGTTGTTGATTGCCATTGAGTGAGTCCAGCATGACTCATAGCGACCCTATGAACAAAAGGTCTGCCTCCTTTCTATAACTATTGACAGTTACCAAAGTTCATAGAGTTTCCAGAGGTATGTTGTTTCAGAAGTGAATGCCACTCCTTCAAGTAACCTTGCTTAAAATGTTGTTGTTGTTAAGTGCCGTCGAGTTGCAGGCGACTCATAGCGACCCTATGAATGAGAGTCCTCGATGCTTGGGTGCCTTTCATCCTCTCTCCAGGTTCATAGGGTTTCTGGAGGCAAGCTATTATGGAAGTGGATGCCACTAAAAATTGTAGAGACCTGCAAGATTCAGAAGACATCAGGGAACAAATGATTACTATTGCTGTTATGAGAACTGACTGAAAGAGAATAGAAGAACAACATTTACTTGGGCTTTACTGTGTAAGAGCATTAGACTGTGGGTATCATAATAAATTATGGGTAACATGTTGAAGAATGGGAATTCTGAAACCATTAATTGTGCACTTGTGGAACTCATAAACAGTCATTTAAAGAGAACAGCAGATATTGTATGATTAAAATCAGGAAAGATGTATCACCAGAGTTGTATCCTTGGACTGGCATGGGACATTTGGAGTCAGAGGATTATATGATCTACCTGGTGACAAAAAGGTGAAGAAAAATGGGCTTGATTTCATAGTTTAAAAAAGTCATTTTTAGATCTGTCTTGAAATACAATGTTGTGACAGGATAATATCCATATGCATATAAGAAAGCCCAGTCAATACCACCATCATTCAAATATATGCACCAACAACCAGAGCCAAAGGGGAGGAAATAGAAGATTTCGACCAACTTTTGCTGTCAGACATTGAACATGCAATCAAGATGCTTTAATAATAATGGGTGACTGCAAAGCAAAAATTGGAACTAGAGAAGAAGGATCAGCAGTTGAAAACCAGGGACATGGTGACAGAAATGAAGCCAGAGATAGAATGATAGAATTTTACACAGTCAATGACTTATTCATTGCAAATACATTTTATAAGAAACACAAATGTAGGCTATACACATGGATTTCACCTGGTGATATGCATAGGAATCAGATCGATTACATCTGTGGAA